AGGCTTTATTCTGCAAGCAATAAAAATAATAAATCTATTCTGCTAAGTGATCACAAATGGTTGTCCTTGTTCTTTTTTTTATGTGTTTTTAAATACATGAGCCACAAAGGGTTTTATGTTGAGGGATGTGTGTATGTGTATTTGTACATGGCTGTGTGTGTTAGTGTCATGTGCATACTCCTCACTTTTTGTTTACATGAGATGTGGGTTTTGATGAGCAATTAAAAGAACTAGACAATAAAGAAACTTGTACATGGGAGTTATGCAAGTGAGAATAAAAAGTGTAGGAGAAATCTGGTGGGACGAAAGACCTCTATAGGACAGATGCCTCAGAAACAGATGTTTTGGAAGAGATGGGGAAAGGTTCAGTGAAGACCTGGGGGCTGGATTGCAGCACAGCAGCGAGGAAGGGGCTCAACGAAGACAAAGTGTTCCAAATTTAAGAAGTCAAGGTTTAGGCAGGGATAGCCATTCTATTTTATTAGGGGCAATACTATTTCTAATGGCATCTGACTTTTCTCAGTCCTTGTGAGGCTCTATGGGGAGGTTGAGGTGTTAAGAGATCAGAGCGGGAAACAGATTTTTCTTTCCACAGTAGCTGCAATGAAGTGATCCTTACTTTACTAAGAAACTTTTCATTTTAAGTGTTGATACATGCCTAAAGAGGTGAAATTAATCCCATGCCTTTAAGTCACAGCATTTCAAGGAAGAGACCTCATTGTAAGCTTCTAGGGGAGGTGGGGACTTAGGTGAAGGAAATGAGCCAGCAGAGGCTCACAAGTCAGCATCATCGTGTCATGCCTGAGCAGCAGACCAGCACTGCCAGATGAAAATGTAGTGTGAAGAATTTGTATAACATTAATTGAGAAGGCAGATTCACTGGAATTCTTATATAATTGAAAGTTAATGCATGTTTATAAGCGAGAGTTTAGTTTAATGTGATGGTGTTATGAACCTAATGCTTGTGTCTCCAGGAAATTCACATGCTAAATCCCCAACTCCCAGTTGGCCCCATTTGTCTGGGAGGCTTTGGAAAAGTAATTAGGTTTAGATGAGCTCATGAGAGCAGATCGCTCTCAAAGAATTATTTTCCTCAGCAGAAGCAGAGAGGTTAGCCATTTCTCTTCCTTCTGGCGAGGACACAGTGAGGAGTCAGCCATCTGCAACCCAGGAAGAGAACCCTGACCAGGAACCAGCAGAAATGTGAGAAAAAAATCTGTTGTTGAAGCCATCCGGTCTATGCTATTTTGTTATAGCACCTTGCACTAAGAAAGGCAGATGAAGAAGGAGAAAAAAATAAGCTTGGGTGTTCAGTGGATTAGAAACCATGTTTATCTCAGGTTTACAAATCTCCCCTGGTCCCCTATGTTTCGGTATAAAATACCTACTCTACTACTCTCATCTGTAAGACCCAAGTCATAAGCCTGAGCCCTTCTCTCTAACTTTGATTTCTCCTATTTTTTCTTCAATGTACTTTAGTCTTGTAATGTATTTATATACAGTGAAATGTCAAGTTCTTTCTTTATATTTCTTTCTTTCATTTTTCTCCTCAGCCTCACAGTTTTCTACATGCCCTTCTTATTTTCAGGAACTTCTTTCTCCAAACATCTTCTGCCTGGCTCCATCATACCATAAAGGACCCACTTCAAATGCTGTCACTCACCACCATTTTACAATTCGCACTTTCTTTCTTGTTTCTTTTTTTTTTTTAGTAAAACAAGTTTATAAAAAATTAAAGTAAAAGAATAAATGAATGGCTACTTCATAGGCAGAGTAGCCCCAAGGGCTGCTCGTTGCCGATTTTTGTTGTTATTTTTCAATAGTTTGCTAAACAAGGGGTAGATTATTTATGCCGCCCGTTTTTAGACCATAAAAGATAACTTCCTGATGTTGCCATGACATTTTTTCCTTTTAATTTTATTTCATTTCATTTTAATTTCCAAGGTACACGTGCAGGATGTGCAGGCTTGTTACATGGGCAAACGTGTACCTTTCTGGCCTTTTAGCCATCTTTATCAATGAACAGGTTAATCTTTACACAGGATCATGAAGGCTGAAAGGATTTCACCATTTCCAATCAACCTGATAGCTTAAGGGATAAACTAATTTGAAGATATAGCTCAGCTCCAATAAGCCAGAATTCCAGAGCTTCTGGCATAATCTAGCAAGGTTTGAGATCATGGATCACTTTCAGAGAAAAACAAAAACAAACTAACCAAAAGCAAAACAGAACCAAAAAACCAGCAGAAATACTTCTTACCCTGTTAATGGTCCAATATGTCAGAAACAGCACTGCGTTAGAAATAAAGCTGTCTAAAGTACACTGATATTCGAGTTGTCATAGTGTGTGGACTATTAGCCAATAAAAACAGCCCTTGCTTCTCTAGAGTTGTTTTCCATGCACACACATGTCTTATGTCTTAGAATAAGATTCCCTGAGAAGAGAACCTAGCATCTATATAAGATAATTAATTCTAATGCAGAGTACCTGCCAAAGAACATTCCACCATCATCTTTACTGAGCGTAAAAAAGCTACACCAAAACCCTGGTCATCAGCCAGCACACACACTTACCCAGTGATAAATAAACATCATATGGTATATATATACATCCTGAATGTGGAATCAAATATTTTTTTCTAAGATGAAACAGACACGATTTATTTCAAATAGGTACAGATAAGTACATATTGAGGTAAGGATTAGGTCTTATATTACATAACACTAATCTATCACTGCACTGAAACTGGCTTTATAGGAATTATTTTCACTGAACTATTGAGAACTTAAGAGATAACAGAAAAAGCCACAGAGACTATATTCAAAAAGAAGTATAGCACTTCTTCTTTGGAAACCAATGCTTACTAAATGAGACTAAGACTTGTCCCATCAAAAATCCTGGACCTATGCCTAAAACACATGTCACAATCCCCGAACTTTTCAAAAATTGGTACATGCTTTAATTTTAGTCTCCAGGCCTCACTGGAGCTTGAGACAAGAAGGTAAAAAAGGCTGACAAAAGAAGTCCTGGTATCTTCTATGGTGGGAGAAGGAAACTAGCTAAAGGGAAGAATAAATTAGAGAAAAATTGGAATGATTGAATTGGAACAAGGCAAAGGCTATAAAAAAATTAAGCAGCAGTATCCTCTTGGGGGCCCCTTCCCCACACTATCTCAATGCAAATATCTGTCTGAAACGGTCCCTGGCTAAACTCCACCCATGGGTTGGCCAGTCTTGCCTTGACCAATAGCCTTGACAAGGCAACCTTGACCAATAGTCTTAGAGTATCAGGTGAGGCCAGGGGCCGGCGGCTGGCTAGGGATGAAGAAAAAAAGGAAGCACCCTCCAGCAGTTCCACACACTCGCTTCTGGAACGGCTGAGATTATCAATAAGCTCCTAGTCCAGACGCCATGGGTCATTTGACAGAGGAGGACAAGGCTACTATCACAAGCCTGTGGGGCAAGGTGAATGTGGAAGATGCTGGAGGAGAAACCCTGGGAAGGTAGGCTCTGGTGACCAGGACAAGGAAGGGAAGGAAGGACCCTGTGCCTGGCAAAAGTCCAGGCCGCTTCTCAGGATTTGTGGCACTTTCTGACTGTTAAACTGCTCTTGTTCAATCTCACAGGCTCCTGGTTGTCTACCCATGGACCCAGAGGTTCTTTGACAGCTTTGGCAACCTGTCCTCTGCCTCTGCCATCATGGGCAACCCCAAGGTCAAGGCACACGGCAAGAAGGTGCTGACTTCCTTGGGAGATGCCATAAAGAACCTGGATGATCTCAAGGGCACCTTTGCCCAGCTGAGTGAGCTGCACTGTGACAAGCTGCATGTGGATCCTGAGAACTTCAGGGTGAGTCCAGGAGTTTCAGCAGTTTCAGAGTTCAGTCTCAAGGCAACTTAGACAACTGAGTATTGATCTGAGGACAGCCGAATCTACCTGCTGGGTGTGAGCTATTTGAAGGTACTGGGGTTGGGAGTGAAGAAACTGCAGAGGACTAACTGGGCTGAGACCCAATGGTAATGTTTTAGGGCCTAAGGAGTGCCTCTAAAAATCTAGACGGACAATTTTGACTTTGACAAAACAGAGGTGGAAATGAGGAAAATGACTTTTCTTTATTAGATTCCAGTAGAAAGAACTTTCATCTTTCCCTCATTTTTGTTATTTGTTTTAAAACATCTATCTGGAGGCAGGACAAGTATGGTCATTCAAAAGATGCAGGCAGAAGGCATATATTGGCCCAGTCAAAGTGGGGAACTCTGGTGACCAAACAGAGTCTGAGGCTATTCCTATATCAGCTGGACACATACAAAATGCCGCTATCACTTCATTACAAACTTATATCCTCTAATTCCAGATGGGGGCAAAGTGTGTCCAGGGGTGAGGATCAATTGAAACATTTGGGCTAGAGTAGATTTTGAAAGCCAGGTGTGTGTGTGTGTGTGTGTGTGTGCGCGCGCGCGCGTGTGTTTCTTTTAACGTTTTCAGCCTACAACATACAGGGTTTGTGGTGGCAAGAAGACAGCAAGTTTTAAATTTCGGCCAGTGACTAGTGCTGCAAGGGGTACAACTACCTGCATTTAATGGGAAGGCAAAATCTCAGGCTTTGAGGGAAGTTAACATAGGCTTGATTCTGGGTGGAAGCTGGGTGTGTAGTTTCTGGAGGCCAGGCTGGAGCTCTCAGCTCACTATGGGTTCATTTTTGTTGTCTCCTTTCATCTCAACAGCTCCTGGGAAATGTGCTGGTGACTGTTTTGGCAATCCATTTCGGCAAAGAATTCACCCCTGAAGTGCAGGCTTCCTGGCAGAAGATGGTGACTGGAGTGGCCAGTGCCCTGTCCTCCAGATACCACTGAGCCCCCTGCCCAC